AAAAAAAAAAAAAAAAAAAAAAAAAAAATACATAAATATATACATGCATACATATATAATATACATAGAGGCATAGCAAGGTGCCAATATGTAGCGCATATCCCCTTCAAAACCTGAATGGGAAACCCCATACGCCAAAAAAAATCCGCTTTTGAGATAGTTCCCCACAAGGGTCCTTCATCCTGTGTACTTACAACTCCGCAACGAACAAGTGTTACAACCCAGCGCAGCAGGGACGTGGAAAGTCTCTGAAAAAAAATTCCATAATCACATTTCGACATGCAAAATGCGTTTGTGGTGAAGACCGCTCCCCTGCTTTGCAAAACCTATGACCCATTAACGGGGGGTAGCCGTATTCAGTACATTTTCAAAAATTGAGATAACCTGTCCCCACTTTGTGGTAGGGGGTAAGCCGGGCATGGAGGCCAAGACTCTCTTTACCATACGCTACCCCATACTACATCAGAGATGCCCTACCCACTTCACAGCCATGAAGAGTGTTGTGATCAGAGTTAACCTTTAAAAAGCAATGACATTTAATGGAGGCAAAACTCAATTGGACAGCTGTGCTTGTAAGAAACTCTTTATTCTGTTCTGTAAGTTACATGAATCCATTTTTACATCTACATGTTGCTCCATATACGTAGCGTGTTCAATGGGATCAGTCGGTAGGTAAATATTATGAACAGACAACTTGTGTCTAGCAATGTAATTTTTTTCTATTAGGTAATTATTGAAGTGGGTTGCGAATCCACCTACTGTGTTGTCCTCGTACGTAATGTGTACATCATGCTTATTCTCCTCAATGACGTAATCTATTATTTTTTTATCCATTGGGTTTAGGAAAATCATATCAATAATTGAGAAGGAAAATTTGTTAGAAAAAAAAACGTCCTTTTCCATTTCTTCAATCGCGTTCAGTACATTAAATAGCATACTGCCCATGTTATATATGACCACTTTTTTTTTCCCCTCTTCGTTTGGTTTTTTTTCCTCTGAGCTCATTTTAATAACTCGGGCTTTTCCAAAAAATGTTTGCATATCGTCCTTGTTCGGATCTTCCCCTGTGTTTGTTCCTTCGCGACCCACTTGACTATCTCTTCCTACATTTGCACCTTCCTGGGGCTGCACCCCGATGCGGAAATACTTCTGCAAGTACTCCGCGGTGAAGATGTTAATCCTTGGCAGGCGAACAAATATAGATCGGTTCACATCGTGGTAGCAAAATTTGAGTGCTTGTTTCAAATCCACTTGGTTGCTAGGTGATATAATGCATGCATTGTTCAAGGCACCCAAAATAGTAAGGTCATAGAGTCCTTGGTGAGTAGCTCCATCTTCCCCGACTAAGCCACTCCTACCGATGATAACTTTTAAGGGGACCTTCTGTAAGTTCAAGTCATGTATTATTTGATCATATGCTCTTTGCATAAATGTAGAATAAATGCATAGGTGAACTTTTAAGGACTTATTCATGGCCATAGCTGCTGCGAAGGTTACGGCGTGCTGCTCTGCGATTCCCACGTCGTACACATTATTGGGGTACTTGTCGCTGATCTTTACTAATCCGGATCCCCCTAGCATGGCTGGGGAAATGAAAATAATATTTTTATCTCGCTCCAAATATGTGAGCATTTCTTCTGTGTACACATCTGTGAAGGTTTTTTTCTTGGAGAACATCCCTTCCTGTTGTCCTGCCCCGGAGTTGCATTTGTCCTTCTGCGCTGCATCATTCTGCGCTGCATCATTCTGCGCTCCATCATGCTGGTTGTGGATGGTGCTGTGTCCTTGAGACTTAACTGCTGGCACATCAGAACTCAGTGTATCCACATTGAAGGGAAAAATTTCGTTCTTCTTAACTGAGTGCATCACAGTTATAGGTGCCCTCGTGTTTATAAACTCACTGGTCTTGTTGGTACATACATGTAATACAGTGGCTCTACTCATATTCCCCTTCTTAAAGGAAGACAACGCGTTGAAAAGGGCTTCTGTGTTATTTCCGTTTTGTACTTGCACATAATCGTAATTCAAATTTTCAAAAATGTTATTCTTTTCCCTACCACTGGAAGGTACATTTTCTCCTTTTCCACTTTTGCTTGTGATAAAGCTGCGGAGGTGGTCAGAGATGGAGCCGATGGGCCGGTGCCCCGAGATGCTGGGTGCATTAGTCGGGAGAGACACCTGTCCATTATCATTATAAATAATTAGCACTTTGGAGTTTAAGAAGGAAATGTAATTTAGCGCTTCCAGTGCCATACCACCTGTTAGACCGCCGTCCCCAATAATAGCAATATGTACTTTGTTCAAATGGTCCGCTAAATTATTTCGCCCCAGGTAGGCACTCTCTTCTTGTGTGGTTCCTCCCTTGGCATGACTCGTATGATAATTCTCCCCTGTACGTATTGTGCTCCCTTCACCAGGTTGGATAAAAGAAATATTTTTTGCCTCTTCCATGGGGTGTGTTTGTTTCTCTTCCGATTGAGAATTCCTTCTCTGTTCACATACCTGCCAATCGGCTTCATAAAACCCCTGGATGGCACTGAGTGCAGTGGAGCTATGACCAGCCCCAAATTTGTCGTAGGTACTTTCAAAAGTGTTTAAAAAGCCACATAATCCTTTCTTCTGTCTTAGTGATAAAAAGAGGAACTTCCGTCCTGTGAGTATTTTGTGCACGTATGTCTGATGACCAATGTCATAGATCACGTCATCATGAGGCTGATCAAACAGGTACAATAACAATAGCTGCACTTCTAGCAAGCTCAGCCCAGCGGAAAAATGACCACCAGTTATATTAACCATGAAGAAAAGAAACATTTTTAATTCGTGTGCCAGTAGAGGTAGGTATTCCTTTTTCAATTTTTTTAAATCGATCGGATTGTTTATTAATTTTAGTAGAGGTAAATAATTTAAGACATTAAGAACTTTCTTTATGTTGTTCCTTGTGTAGTAATCCTTATTAATATTTTTTATGAGGACTCCATTTCTTTGGAACTCCTCCTGCATTAGTTTCTGAAATTGGTCTTCATCATATTTGTCCACGTCCAATGCGACGCTCTTCTCTGTCGGTTCAGTGAAGAACAACTGTTCGTAATTCTCGGGGACATCCCTATGTACATATAATTTTATTATTTGGTTATAAATTTCCTCGCCGTATGTATCTTTGTATCTTTTCACATCTATGTAGGTGTTTATTTGATCAAAGAGGGCATTCAAATTGGGGGGGTCCTTCTCACCATTGTTCTTTTCATTTGCACCTGTGAGGTTTTGTGGCTCTCTCCACATTTGGGTGTCATCGTTCTTGACGTTGTACAGCTTCCTTGCTAGAGTAGCATTGGTGGAGAACTCCTGCGGTGGGTTACCTTCACAGGATTGTAAAAGGGTCCGCTTCCCATTAATAAAACCACCCCCCCTTCTCAGGCCATACTTGTTCAATTGCTTCAAACCGGTGTAATTGATGAATAACATATTTGGTGCTTTACGAGTGGGTGAGTGTGTCCTGCTACCACTCATTCCGTCACATGCCTTTTTATTTGCATTATCCGTGTAGCGGTTTCCATCCTGTATGATCCATTTTGTATCTCCCTTATGGCTACCTACACGTTGGTCATCATTGGGAGGGTTCCTTTCTTGTCCTACCCTTTCTACTTGCACCTCATCGCAAGGCCTTCCCTTTGGGCAGATTTCATTTTTTATTTTTAACTGATCCCATTGTATAGCATTACGCTTGAGCAGCCTGCCACTACTATCATTTGGGTCATACCCTCCAGAGATGCCAAAAAAGCAGGGGAAGCTGTCCTTAAAAATTTTACACAAATAATACCTTTTCGTGGTAATCCTGTTTAACTGTTTCAGGTACTTGACGTTTCTACTTACTTCACATTTACCGCTGGTGGCTTTTAAAGTGATGTGCATGGAGGTGATGATCAGTGTGAACAAGCACAGGAGAAAGGACGTTCCTATTATCATGGTGATAGAGGTCACGGTGTCACATCATAGGTGGGGGCGGGCGGAACTGCGTCAAACCGATGTTTGCGCTTCAACAGGGGAGAGTAATTGTGGAGAGGAGTTTTTTTAACGGGGAGAGTTTCTTCATGGCTCTTGAAGCGATGAAGTGTCAGGGAACAGCCACGTTGGGGAACGGCGCAGCGGTAGAGTTCAGTTCCGTTCACCTCTTTAAAAAAAAAAGGAGCCCACGAAAAAAACAAAAAAAAAAAAAAAATTTCAAAATATTAACAAATTGAAGAACAAACGGAGTGAAATAACGAACGAGCGCGGTCATATATTCCTTCACGCCGTGGCGCACACAACAAAGCGTTGCACTTCGCGACAACGATGCCTCTTTAAAGGGTCCTCGCAAAACAACACCGCATGGGGGTGCATACGACTGCTTGCACATGTTTCCGCACAGCACATTTTCCAGGAAGCGATCCTTCCAGATGACACATACGTTAGGTCGTCCGTCATACCTCTTCTATACCTACTTAAAGAATACTCGAAGGATTTATCTGTGCAATGTCGTTAAAGCAGGGGTGCTTTAGGGCTATCTCGCAGAAGGGGAGGGGGGAGGTGCGGCGGTGATGATGGGGTTGGGAGAGTCACACGGGGCATGGGTGACACATTACGTAGTGCAGTAGCGGGGACCACACATCAAAATAAAAAGTATAAAATGAAAAATAAAGCAATGTGTAGATGGGCCCCATAAAAAGGGTTCCTGCTGGAAGGAAAATTCTTTTGAGGAACGCTCAGCCAAAAGTGACACATGTGCAGAGAAAAACAAATCACTTGTGAGGGGCCAGGCAACCAAAGGCACAATACACAATTATACACATTTGGTGTGCGATTTTTTTTTTTTTTTTCAGCTCCCTATTTTCATTTCGAACCTTCTTTTGAAGATATGCGGTAGACCGGGTCGTAAATCAGCATTTTGGAAATCAAATCGGCGGTGGGTTTGTCTCGAATTATGTTCTTTAGTTCATTCGTCTGCGAAAGGGGAAACGTGCACGGGGGGTGGCGCGGTTGTGTGATGCATTTGTGTGACGCACTTGCGTGATGCAGTTGGTGATCTAAACCAACTTTTTTGCCCTCCCCACAACAGCTACACCTGCGCGCACCTCAAAGTAGGGAAACATCCTGTGTCGATCTTCGTCCCCAACGGACAATTTGCTCTTATCGCCAAGAACCAAATAAATCAGATCCAGCTGTAAGTTAACATATGAGAATATGCAGCTCAATCGGATAAAGTGCTTTTATAGGAATATTCTACATGGGGGGTTACTGTTTTTTTTTTTTTTTTTTTTTTTTTGGTGTATGGGGGTTCCTACCTGTGATTCGTCATTCTTCCCGGGGAATAGTGGCCTTTGGGATGTTTACACAAGAGGAATTTTTTTTTTTTTTTTTGCAAAAAAGGTTAAGGCACAGTTACACGAACATTTTATGTTTAACATGCAGGTGGGATTCACTCCAACATGGACATGTACTTGTGTAAAAAAGAGAAAAAGGGTAACCCCCGTCTTGTTGGACAAAGACGCAACCGCATTACCTGCCCGTTATCAACTCCACGAAAAGACAACCCAAGCTCCATACGTCCACCTTGTGGTCGTAATTTTTCGACTGAAGTAAAATTTCCGGCGATCTGTACCAGCGGGTCACTACAGTGGGAGTCATATTGTCAGTTCTTTCAACAGACAGTCCCAAGTCCCCCAACTTAATTTCCCCACAGGAATTTATAAATATGTTTTCCGGTTTTATGTCCCTGTGTAGGTAATTATTTTCATGCAAATAGGAGGTTGCCAGAAGAAGCTCAAAAATTACGTACTTTGCTTCCCGGATGTTCATGTTATACTTGTTCATCAAATTCAGCAGGTCAATGTCGCAATACTCGAAGGCCTTTTTAGGTTCGAAAGGGGGACAGGTGGCGGTCAGTCTGTGGGCAATCGTGCCTATATAACTATATATATATGCACATATGTACATATGCGCCTCTTTTTCTCATCGGCCTTTTTTTTTTTTTTTTTTTTTTTTTTGGAGGGGGTGTGCGTGATTGCCGTCTTACCAGGTATAAACAGGAATTCTCTAAATTTTCTCCTTTCAGTTTTTCCTCTATATCTCTTCCATAAAAAACGTACTTCAGGTCTAGCGCATGGTGGTGATGGTGGATGGTGAATGGAATGCACACTGTATAAGAGTAGAGCAAGGGTGTCGTTCGTGGAGAAAGGACGAGGTGTGTTGGAGAAACCTACTTATAATATTTTTGTGCCGAATTTTCTGCAGGATGGTTAACTCGCGTAGGATGCTTTTGCTTATGCCATAGTTGTCATCGCACAAATTAATTATTTTTTTTATGGCCACAAGTTGGTTCTCGTCCTTGTCGAGCGCCTTGTAAACGATGCCTGGGGGTGTGGTGTGGCGTAGGGGAGTATGGTGTTTAGCTCTTCACGTATTAATGCATTCAAACGACACACATGAAGGAGCTCGCGGTGGAGAAGACCAACAGCCAAGAAAAAATCTTACCATAGGTGCCCTTTCCTATTACACACAAAAACTCAAAGTTGGAAATGTCTCTGGGGATCATTTTGGCGAGCTAAAACAAAGCAACTTCCCCTGTGAGAAAAATTTCAAGAATGCCTCTTCTACGTTAGATGTAATAACCATATTGGGGCATCTTCATTTTGAAGATCCTCGAACTCGGCGCAGATTATTCCTTGAAGTGCCTTTTTTTTTTTTTTTGTGCCCTGCTTCTCATTATTATATACCGTGGAGGGGAAAAAAGCAAAAGTTTAAAAAGGACCCAACATGAGGATAGCAACCTTTGTGCACTATTTTTTTACGCTCCGTCGTTTCTTCTAATTTTTTCCAAGCTGTCGCGACGATATTACCGTTTTTTTTTTTTTTTTTTTTGCTCCTTCGTAGGCGTGGTAGGCTGAAAAGTTGGCCCATCCCCGCACTGGTATGTTCCTCCTGACCAAATGAACACAGTTGTGAGAAATGTTCATCACCAAGTTCTGCAGAAAATGTATGCAGGTGGAAGGGGAAAGAAAGGAAACATAAAATTTGGGGGATGTTCTTCTAACCGTTCTGTGTAGAGGATACAGTGGATATAAGTAACCCTAAAAGGGGGAGTTAATTTTTTTTCCAGAAAAGAGGTTAGCTCCCGTATAAGTCTCTACGCTACGAAGATGGTCTTACTCTCAACTGATTTGTTCTTAATTTCAACTTGAGTCACTTTTTTTTTTTCTTGTTGGGCTTGAGGAAGAATCATGCTGAGGGTGACACACACAGACGACATAACGACTGGTCCACGAGTCTTCACATAGTGAAACCAAATCATTTTTTTTTTTTTTCATTATTTACAAGTAGATGCCTTTCCTAGTCGGGGCATATTTAGCAAAGGAATGATAGTCACCAATACGCAGAAGCGAACTGCACGTGAGGCCGCCAGACCCCCCGAGGCTAAATGATGAACCGGAGATCGTGTCAACTGGTCGAGGCGGTGTGCAGTGGGGCGACATTTGAAGGTATAAAATGGTGCACTATTTCTAGAAAACCTAATGGTACATTTTTGAGAACATTCCCCGGGGGTACATCCCGGAGGCATTTCTTCTTCTTCTTCTTCAAAAATGAGAGCGACAAAATAGGAGAAACGACAAATTTGCTGGCAAAACTGAATTTAAAAAAGTTCATGAAAGAAGGAAGAAATGGAGGAGGGATAACCTGTTCGGAAGAGGTGGAGGTGAGGAAGGAGAACTGCGCTGGTCAATCGTTAGGCCAAATGAATAAGGAGCATCTTCAAAATGTAGACACGCTTAGCGAAGGCGACGTAGAAAGAATTGATAAAATTCTTGCAGAGTTAACCAGAGAGAAAATGGAAGGAAAAGGAGAGGGACACCTGCTAGAACTGATTGGATTAAAAAGCAGCGGTGAAAATATCACACAAGCGAGTCTCGTCTGCATAAGTACATGCGATAGTATACTAAAAAAAATGTACAAAGAGGAAAATATTTTCAAAATTATTAACATGGTAGATACAGTTTCAAATAATTTATGCAAATTAGGAGATGCACTGGAACTGCTGAGAAATTTACACACAAGCCAAGGGGTAATGGCCAGAGCACATGAGGCGTTGGAGAAATTAACCTCCTACATCGACCTAATTAACATAGATGAAAAAATTTACCATTTTTTAAAAACAAAATATCATGAGCATGCACATAGGTTAGATCGGGAGCATGCAGAAGTTCTGCTCAACATGATCGTGTCCATGGAAAACCAAGGGGTCCACATAAAGGATAAGAAACAAAGACAAGAATATTTGGAACTACAGGCACAAGAAAAATATATTTCCTTTCATGCTACATCCAACGTCGCAAATGAATATGATGGTGTGTTCATACAAAAGAGGAGACTCCTGCCTTTTATCAATGAGCAGGTCATAGATAGGTACCAGGAAAAAATAAAACCTTTTATTCAAAATGGAAAATTAAAACAGAATAACAAACGTGAAGGGCTCGACTCAGAAGAGTGGGTATTTCTCCTCCAGGACAGCTCCTTCATCATGACGGTGCTTGAAAATGTCAATGATGAAGAAGTAGCAAAAAGCGCCCACGCACTATTGAAGAAGCCAAACCAGATATTCCTAAAAAACATACTAGTCTTGCAGTACTATAGAAATATGCTAACGCAGTGTCGAAATTTTAAAAACTTCAGTGAATACTCTCTTAAAAATTGCATCCTAAATAGCCCCGACAAGGTGCACTATTTTTTGAGAAGTGTTTTTAATACTGTTTTGCCCCACTTTTTTGAAGAGCTGCGGTTTGTGGAAAGGTACATCGACGCGGTTTCATCTAGAGGGGAGAAGACCAAGGCGAGGCTTTCCAATTGTGGTGCAGTGTGCGGTGCGGTTGAGCGTACCCAAGATAATATCTCAGAAAATAAGTTAGAACCCCCCACACAGTGGTTCAAGTCAGCTGATCACGATACAAGCAACACGGATGGAGGAGAGAGGCGCAGCAAGCTAACCCCGGAAAATGTGTTCTACTACATGAACCAAATACGGAAGGAGAAACTTAAACAGATCGAGGCGGAAATGAAAAACCGATTGACTCTATATCAGGTTATTCGCTTTGTCGTGAACCTCTTGAAGGATTCCTACTCCTTGGAGATGGTCAACGTTGCGCCGTTGCCGAATGAACTGTGGGACGAGAGCATATTAAAATTTGAGATAAGGGATGGGAGCTACACGTATGGGTATTTATATATGGACCTTTTCGAGCGGGAAAACAAGAACCATTCCATTGCTCAGTACACCGTTCGGTGCTCCAAGAATATGAACGCCTGCTTGACGCACCAGTGGTTTGAGGACAGCGCGCGAGAGTTTCCCTTCTTCTACTCGGGCATCGTACGGGGCGGCATGGGGAGTGACACGCCCAACCGCGCATCAGGTGGGAGGCAACATCACGAACGAACCTACCGACAGACCACGTCGACCTTCCTTGTGTGTAACTTTAGTACAAAATTGAGCGCCGATGATGGAGAAACCTCCACAAGTAACATCCCCCAGGATAACCTCTTCATATATAATCAAATGGGCATAAAACTTGGAAGAATAAAAATGTCCGTCGACAAGGTCAATATGTTTTTGCACGAATTTGGGCACACCCTCCACTGCATACTTAGCTCCACATACCTACAACATCTTTCTGGAAATAGGGGTGGCGTTGATTTCTCTGAGTTTTCGTCTCATTTTTTTGAGGAGTATTTAAACAGTTACGAGGCGTTGCTACGACTGTACGGAGGGAATAAAGAAGATAACAAGGAGAGCCTTGAAAAGACGGAGAAGATAGTAAAAAAATATTTGGAGAACAAAAATATTCTTTGTTATTATTCCATCATGCAGGTGACTATTCAATCTATAATTGATCAGATTTTTTATTGTTTATCGAGCAAGTCCAGTTGCATTACTGAGCGAAATGAATTAATTGAAAAGAAAATAAATGAGTACTTCTCTGGGGTGTACTACAAGGATATATTTATACTCGAGTTATTTCCTCAAATTCATTTTTCCAAAACGACACACCTCGTTCATTATCCTGCCAATTATTTCTGTTACCTGTACTGCTCCGTTTTGTCTAAATATGTGTGGGAGCGGACCTTCAAGCGGGATTTGATGAATCGGAAGAAGGGCGCCGAAATTGTGAACTTTATGCGCGGGGTGAGTGTCCTTACACAATTGCGTCTTTTCGCGTGGCCATGCGGTTGTGCATATACGTAGATAATGTTACCACGACAACACGCACTTGAATACATGTTCCCATGCACGTGTGCCTTATTACATTTATTTTATCCTTTTTTGCTACTCCGCAGGGCTCGGTCGACTCCAGCCTAAGAAACATCATTGCGCTGGTGGAAGATGACCTGGAGAAGGTTCAGTACTACACGGACAATCCGGAACATCTCCCACTTGATGATTTTTTGAAGCATTACTCGGGTGAAAACAAGAACGAAGAATACAACTCCTTTTTAGAGGCCCTCCAAATGGGCGAAAAAAAATTAACATAAATAATACAAAAAAAATTATCCCCTTTTTTTTTATCGTGAAAATGTGAAAGTTGCACATAATTCAACTCGCTCACAGAAATGTATGTGCCATTTTGTTTTATGAAATGGATTTTTGTAAAATTTATTTTATTATTATTATTATTTTTGTTTTTGTTAAAAGGACAGGACTATGAAATTAAAGATTGTTCATCCTGTTATATATGTGCCAAAGTGGCTTCTTAATTTTGTTCACCTTTTGGAGGAGAATAAAGCACACGCGCAATGCTTTTTTTGCGACGTGGCGTATTTTCGCCCAAACGTCCTCAGCACAAAAAAAACAAAAATGAGTGTGTTAATGAATGAACACATGTCCATAATGTGGAAGAGGTACAGTTCGCTCGGTCAAAAAGGAACCGATGCGGTTTTGCTGCTCCTTCCGTGTGAAATGTAGCTGAGCGGTGGGACAAGAACCATGTGGTGACTAGAAAAAGTAATACAGGAGAGAAAGGGGCACGCGACGGGGAGTAGCATCTGTCCGTTTCAGTAGAATATGTGCTTCTGCCGCATGATCATATAGTTGCAAGTGCCCCATTGGCCCTGTTGCACCGCCCTAACCGCATTTTTTATCCGATCATAACGAGATGCGCACCAGACCTGGGCAGACCAAATACAAGTATCAATTGTGCCACCCACTTCTGCGCGCGCAGGTCGAGTTGAAAGCTTTTTTGGCAAAGCGAGGGTGAAAAATGAAAAACGAAAATTTTAATTCGAAATATTAAGAATAAAAAAGAACTAATGTAGGGGAAAATAAAAAAAACAAAAATAACCAGCGAAAACGCGGACGCAAGGGAAGCAGTGGCGCGTTTCCTTTGCCACTTTTTTTCACAAAAAAACAAAAAATATGAAAGTGAGCTCGAATTGAATTTCCTTTTATTTCCCGCATTTGATCCAAGAAGATAAAAAAAAAATTACCAAGCAACCAAGCACAGCTTAACATATAGAGGAAGAGCCCCACCCCCCTAATTGACACTGTATGAAAGAAGCTGAAGAACCCCCAAATGGATAAGCTAAAAACGGTGTATTTGGATTCGGCCCTGAGCATAATCAAAGGGGCCCTGTGCGTCATCCTCCAGATACCCACCAGCAGGACGACGGAAAGCGTAAAAAGAAAGGTACTAAGATGGAACCGGAGAGAACGACAGCGTGAGGAGGAGCACAGCACTCCTCACACGATGTATATTTGTTCTTGTTTATGAGATCGTGTGGCCACATGGGTGGTAGACTAGTTCCAAATAGGAATGCATCTCCTGCGGTGTGTGTTCGCAGTTGTGCTGCTTGGCCAGCGCAGATGTTCTGACCAGATTGGTGTTCTTCATGGCGCCTACTCTGCGTCGCTAATTCTGCGTAACCACTTCTTTCGAACATCGCCTGACCTGAACTAACGGAGCTCACTCCGCTCCGCTGCGCTTCCATCCCATCCCCCGCGCAGCCGAACAACAATGGTGTCCTGAGCGTGAGGTCCATCTTGATGGAGCCGACGATCAGCCAGTACGATGACATAAAGAAGCTGATTCGAAACAAAATCCAAGAGGAGGTCCCCTTTTACAACTACCAAATGAAAAGGGCCCTTGCAGAAAAAATTTACGGAGACTGCATATACGATAATTTTGGGCTTTCAAAAGACATCAGCGAGGTGAACCTCATAGCACTGGAAGAATGGAACATCAACTGCAACAGAAATAGGGTTCTGCAAAACACAGGCCTGATAAAGGACATCCAGATAAACGAATTTAAATATTTGACAACGAAAGAATCGTTGGAAGTTCATTTTGCAGTGAACCCGAAGTACACATTTGAAGAATTAAGTAATATGTACAAAAGCGAAAAAAGTTTGACCAATTTTTTATTAGCTCCAATTGTTAAGGTGTACACATCAGAGGATGAGAGTCTTGTTAGAGGAGAGGCCCCCACTAATGAAGATTTTGTGTACGCCCACGTAGAAGATATTTTGCAAAAGAATAAAGTGCTCCCCCCATCTGGGGTTGAAAATGTGAATTATGAAAGGTCAAAGGAAGTGACCCCATGGGATGTAAACATAACGGAAGAAGGAATTAATTATAATAAGTTGATAAAAGAATTTGGGTGTTCAAAAATAACTGAGAATCATATTAAGAGGATAGAACAGCTAACGAATAAAAGAGCTCACCATTTTATCCGACGAGAAATATTTTTCAGTCACAGGGATTTGGATTTCTTATTGAATTATTATGAACAACATAAATGTTTTTATATATATACTGGAAGAGGACCATCTTCCCTCTCCATGCATCTAGGTCATTTGATTCCATTTTATTTTTGTAAATATTTGCAAGATGCTTTTAACGTGCCATTGGTTATTCAAATGTCTGATGATGAGAAATTTTTATTTAACCAAAACTACTCCTTAGAATATATTAACACCTTGACGAAGGAAAACGTGAAAGACATAATCGCAGTTGGTCTGAACCCAGAGCTGACTTTTATTTTTAAGAACACAGAATATGCAGGCTATTTATATCCAACCGTTTTGTCGATCCATAAAAAGACAACCCTAAATCAGAGCATGAATGTCTTTGGCTTTAATCATTCAGATAATATAGGAAAAATATCATACCCTTCCTTTCAGATTGCTCCTTGCTTTTCGCAGTGCTTTGAACAATTCCTTCCCCCTAATATTCCTTGCTTAGTTCCACAGGGTATTGACCAGGATCCCTACTTCAGGCTCAGCAGAGACATCGCGGTGAAAATGGCTCTACACAAACCCGTCGTCGTGCACTCCGTGTTTATGCCGGGGCTTCAGGGTGTAAACACTAAGATGAGCAGCACGAAGAAGAAGGACGAAAAGGGAAAGAGCGACCTGGGCGCGAAAGAGGCAAAAGACGCGAAAGACGCGACGGGCCCAAAAGGTGGAGCCCAAAAGAATACAACCGGCAACAGTGCCAAGGAGCACAACAACACCGTTATATTCCTAACCGACACACCGGAACAAATTAAAAATAAAATTAACAAGTATGCCTTTAGCGGGGGAGGAGCCACGATTGAGGAACACAGAGCAAAGGGAGGCAATTTGGAGAAGGATATTTCGTACCAGTATTTGAGGTACTTCATGGAAGATGACGAGAAGCTGCACGAAATTGGAGAAAAGTACAGGCGGGGAGAAATGCTAAGTGGAGAGCTCAAGAAAATTCTCATCCAAGTTTTAACTGACCTAATACAGAACCACCAGCAGAGGAGGCAGGCCATCACGGAGGCTGAGATCGCCTATTTTTTTGACGCCAGCAAGCCAGGCCTGAAGAAGTTCAGGGGCGCATAGCGGGGTTGAGAGGCCCATTAACAGGTGTATAGCCGAGATAGTCCACACATACTGCTGCGATTTAGCGTCACCTCCCAACCCGCATTAAGTGTGCGTGTATAATAAGCGGATGCGACGCAGAATTGGAGTGGTACATGCAGGGGAAGCTGCTCTCTCCTGCTATGCATTTGCAAACGGTTTGTGAATTTGTCCATCGGTTTTGATGCTCGCCGGAGCAATTCCATGATTGTACTTTATTGTATTTTTACTTTATTTTAATTTATTCTACTTTGCTTCACTTATTTATCCGCGCTTATTTTGCAGCCCTCATTTTGCCGCATTTTATTTTTCGCCATTGTTGCGTCGTCTCCCTTTTTTGCCTCACGTAGCTGTGATTATACGGGGCAGCAACAGAACTTTTCTTCGCAGGAGACACGAGTGTTTCTCACATTGACCAATTTTTAAAATTTGCTTAAATTTGAGGCGGTTAGTACATTTGTTTTGCACACCGCTTGTCTCCCTAGGCGTGTTAATTGTGTAGGGGGAATTTTCACATACGCATGGATGCGGGGTGAGAAGTGGGTCCCGCGGGGGTTATTAAAGCGAGCATATACGCACGCTTCGAAAAAAAAAAAGAAAGAAATAAACACATGTGCATATACGCATATGAACGTGTACAAAGCACAGCTGCGCAGTTGCACACCTGCACACGTGCACGTGCGATGGGGGACTACCGGCCGAAGAACATGCTGTTCGGGTTGGAACTGCCGTAGTTGATGTTGGCCTTGGAAAAGTCCATCTCCGGATGCATTTTCTTAAATTTTTCAAAAATTTCAAATTTCTTCTGTTCATCGGACGTGGGCAAATTCATAGCCTTTTGTCTCTGGTCGTAGAGCATTTTTTCTACCACCGAGCGAGTCTCCGCATCGAGGTCCTCCATCCTGGAGTTCTCTGGGATGATTTTCTTAACGTCAATTTCGGAGTCGCCTTTTATAACAGTAGACCACCACTCCATTCCATTTAGCTTTTCAATGCACACATGAATAATCCTATTATCTTCCAAGGTCCAAATGGAGTCCTCTGGTTTTATATGTTTATAAAATTCTCCATCAATTATAACCTCATTTTTAACATTAACATACAATTTTTTGTAAGTTATTTCCAACTTTATGTCCTTGGTTTTTACTTTTTGGTCCAAATTTATATACATATCAAGACTGTTTATAGTTTGCGTCCATGTGTATTTTTCTGTTTGTCCACCATTTCCCTTGGGTGGTTCATCATTATTGTCTTCATCCGAGTCTTCTTCTTTTTTTGTCTTTCGTTCGTTCTTCCCTTTCCCTTTGGTGGAATGTTCACGTATGGTGGGAGGGTTTCTGTTTTCACCTCCGTCTTTCTTGGAGTCCCCTTTTCCGTTCGGAATGTGTTGGTGAATGGCTAACTCTTCGTCTCCCATTTTTCCATCCTCGTCAATTTCTACCACGCGCTTGTCCTGTATGTTGTTGTCCAAAGAAGATTTTGTCGTTGCGTCCTTCACATTATTGTTCATTTTCAAATTTGTGTTTTTCCTTTTGTCATTCATTTCGTCTTTCCTACTATCACCGTTACTTTGTTCCCTTTGGTATATTTTTTTTTTTTCATCATCCATTTTTTCGTACTCTTTTTTTAATTTTATCACATATTCTTCCTTCCGTTTGTAGTACTTCCTCAGCGTTTTCAAAACGATATCTTCACATTGTTCTATGTTCTTCGAGTTTATAATAAAATCTGTTTTACGCAACAGGAAGGAGAAAAAATGGTTCATCAAACTGTTAATATCTCCACATTCTTTTGCAATATTCAGCATTATAAAATCAAACCTTTCGTTTACCACTACGTCTGTATCCATTTTTTGTACTTTTCTTTTCCTCTTTTTCAATTAATCCTCTGTTGATGCTTCGTTGCGCTCCTCCACAAAGTTATATGACGGGTTATATTGGTACATATATACACGTAGAGTAAGCGCGGTATTAATTTAAACCGTACTGTTGCGCATACCGTATATATTACTTGTACATATATATCAAATGTACGAATAGGCAAGCTCTACATTATATGGACGTATTATAAACACGTAGGCCAAGAAAGAAAAAATGAAACAGTCGCGTTACCAGAGAGAAAGAGAGTCAGTCGTTCTTTCGTCTGGCAAGTAAACAAAAAAAAAAAAAAAAAAAAAAAAAAAAAAAAAAAAATCGCAAAAAAGAAAAAAAGGCAATTTTTTTTGGCTTCATTTTGTTCTCTTTTTTGTAAAATAAAATTGCTAGCCGTGCGGGGGTGGATGGAAAAAAAGGAGGGTGCGCTTTTGCCTGCTTGCGGCACGTGCGTGGTTTTCGCCCCGTTTCTAAACGCGTCATGAAATTAAAATGTACATGTGCATGTTGCCCGTTATCGCGTAAACGTGTTGTTGTTCACGTAGAAAACAAGCCTATGCGAATACAAAAAAAAAAAATCCTCGGCGTTGGAAACCACGGTGGGAAAAAGGTAAAGGCAAACACTTGACCTTACATGTCATTCGTGCAACACACACGTTATGGATGCCAAATTGGCTTAACCCCGCGGGAACAGAATCTCTACCATGTCAGAGCACTTTCAAAATGGTGAATAAAAATGCATATAAGAGAATGCTAGCAAGGGGCAAGAAACATAAGCGCTGACTTAATATTACATCCCTCTTGCGAATTGGCAAAATGACCCCTTTTTGCAGAGATAAACAATGCTACGTGGTTATGTACAGCAGCTTGGCGAGTTTTTCCTCTTCTCCCCCAAGTTAGTAGACCTTCCTTCGAAAAAGGGGAAAGACACTCACAAATTTTAAGCGCAAAATTGCTTCGCCACAGGGGAGCAAACACCGAACACGCACCTTTTACTACCGTTTAAAGCTCGCTGCTAAAGTGGACGAATCAAAGATCGACTTTTCCTTAAGTAAGACGCGCGAAATGGGAAGGAAAAAAACGCAAAAGCAGTGTAGAAGCGTCCAGATGAATGGCACCTCCGGTGTGATACGTACATGCCTACATGGCATACCGCACAATCTTACATTTTTTGCGCCTCGCTTTTTTTGTGGAATAGGAAAACGAGAACTGTGCTATATGCGCGTCATGCTATAAAGCACAAATGAGTACCAGAGAGAAAGAGAGTCAGTCGTTCTTTCGTCTGGCAAGTAAACAAAAAAAAAAAAAAAAAAAAAAAAAAAAAAATCGCAAAAAAGAAAAAAAGGCAATTTTTTTTGGCTTCATTTTGTTCTCTTTTTTGTAAAATAAAATTGCTAGCCGTGCGGGGGTGGATGGAAAAAAAGGAGGGTGCGCTTTTGCCTGCTTGCGGCACGTGCGTGGTTTTCGCCCCGTTTCTAAACGCGTCATGAAATTAAAATGTACATGTGCATGTTGCCCGTTATCGCGTAAACGTGTTGTTGTTCACGTAGAAAACAAGCCTATGCGAATACAAAAAAAAAAAATCCTCGGCGTTGGAAACCACGGTGGGAAAAAGGTAAAGGCAAACACTTGACCTTACATGTCATTCGTGCAACACACACGTTATGGATGCCAAATTGGCTTAACCCCGCGGGAACAGAATCTCTACCATGTCAGAGCACTTTCAAAATGGTGAATAAAAATGCATATAAGAGAATGCTAGCAAGGGGCAAGAAACATAAGCGCTGACTTAATATTACATCCCTCTTGCGAATTGGCAAAATGACCCCTTTTTGCAGAGATAAACAATGCTACGTGGTTATGTACAGCAGCTTGGCGAGTTTTTCCTCTTCTCCCCCAAGTTAGTAGACCTTCCTTCGAAAAAGGGGAAAGACACTCACAAATTTTAAGCGCAAAATTGCTTCGCCACAGGGGAGCAAACACCGAACACGCACCTTTTACTACCGTTTAAAGCTCGCTGCTAAAGTGGACGAATCAAAGATCGACTTTTCCTTAAGTAAGACGCGCGAAATGGGAAGGAAAAAAACGCAAAAGCAGTGTAGAAGCGTCCAGATGAATGGCACCTCCGGTGTGATACGTACATGCCTACATGGCATACCGCACAATCTTACATTTTTTGCGCCTCGCTTTTTTTGTGGAATAGGAAAACGAGAACTGTGCTATATGCGCGTCATGCTATAAAGCACAAATGAGTCTACCCTGTAATTAGCTGCAGCCGCGTGTACGCAACACTGATGCGAACTGTCCAAAGGGCAAAAATGTGCAGGGCGAATATGTCATCACCCGTCAGAAGCATCCCATTGGGTTGCTCCTTTTTGGCGCATTAAAAATGACAGCTTAAAATAATACATGTGCTGCCTTCAAATAGCGCAGGTTTGTTCTTTTTTTTTTTTTTTTTTTTTTTTTATTTTGGCGCTTTCTCGAAAGATGTAAAGACGGGCCCTTCGTAGAGAGGCGTTTTTTTTCTTCATCAAAAAATAACATCGATCTGTCAACAGGAGGACGAAACAGCATAAGAAATTCCTCCTCGTTTTAGTGGTTTGTGCGGCTTGCCCGGTATTAGATATATAGGCCGTTTGCGTGGGCTATATATCACGAGAGCAATTATTGACAAATGACATTCACGCTTGTGAAAAAGGGGGTGAATCAAACGAAATGTAGCATCAAAGGTGGCAACAGCATATATTCACTGTAGGGTGGCACAAAGGGGGACAAAACTAAACCAAGCACATAACAAACACACAATTTTACAACTTCTTTTACGCGCAATGATTTGTGTGGACGACGAGATTGCGCAATTTTTGGGAAGACCCAAGGATGTATTTCAAATGAATTTGATTGGCCCTCTTTTGCGACTCTTTTTTTGTTATAGTACCACTACTCGTTTGTGGTTTCTTTTCTTCAAAATTGCAGAATGGGAATTTTTATGTGGTTTGGTGCAAAGGAAAAGGCGAATACTGTTGTCATGATAATTAAAAGTGCCATTTGCCGTCAATCGTAGGTTTGTCTCTCCCCCTGCTGTCGTCCAAATTTCTTCCCACCCCATCTGCTTCTTTTCTGCTCCGCTATTGCTTATTTTGCGCAGGCAAAATATAATTGTACCCATACTCAATATTATAAATGTATTAACAACAATACCATTACGACCCCTGCTGCCCTAAGGCGTAGGCCGCAAAACAAAATAATATATTCTCAGAAACGCCACTTCTGAAGTATTTTAGTTTTGCGAAAATAATATATGGATTAGTTTAAAACAAAGGCCACATGCACTAGTGTTAGGCTTAGTAAACATGTTATAAATAATATTTATTTTATGCATCCATTTTGTGTTTGCGTCATTTGTTCTTAAAAAAACGCTGCAAATGGAACGAAAAAAAAAAAACAAAAAAAAAAAATAGGAGTATATAACCTTAATTGATCATATTTTTTTTTTGAGTGGAAAAATCATGCAGCATTTAAAATTTCTTCATAAAGTTAGGTCAAAGTTACAAAATAAAAAAAAAAAAACGTACATGGGTTTATTTTCTTATTACATTTTTTCATAATAAAATAATTTTTTCTTTTTCACTTATTGCAACTTGCGCATTCTTCCATTATTTTGTAAGTTTCCTTTTTTTTTATTTTTGTGTACAGAAATGGATTCGCTAAAAAGTTGAAAAAAAAAAAAAAAAAATTCTCAGCGTTTTTGCGAGTTCATTTTTGGATTACAAGAAATTACACAGGAAAAAAGAAAACTAACAAATGGTAGATCGATAAAGCGACAGAGGGACAAATTGTCGAACCAGTTATATATGTACCACTCACGTATGTGGATTTATTTATATACCATTCCAAGTGGTAGGAAAAATATAAGCAAAACAAACTACTCCCCACAGAAGCGGCAACTTATGATTCCCTTGCAAAAGTTAACCTCCCAGAATTCCTTTTCCGGTACAACATAATATATATAATAACCCTCAATAGGTTATATTAAATTGTCATCGTAAGGGGAATTTATTTTTATTTTTTCCTTTTTTTACGAATTGTTTTCCACCCGTCCGAGTTATTACCTTCCAAATTGACGCTTTGAAAGTTATTGCAGAAAGGAAGAACTTATGTATGTGGAAGTCCATATATATGTGTACACCTTCTTGCCCGTTTACAAATTGCTCACTGAAGACTTGTCGTAAACACACACGAACTTATATACATGTATACATGTAGATATGCTCGTGCATATATTACTCACACATGTACATTCACATTATGAACAAGTTAATATATATTCTGTTCCCGTCGCCCATTTAAAAAGGGTTTTCCATTTAACTGGAGAAAAGTCGTGGCTGTTCTAAACATTGTGACAGCACGCTTTTACACATACATATATATATATCCCCCTGCCATTTTTTGGACAACCATTTTTTTTTTGTTAAAACACTGTGTGTTTTTTATATGTTTATGAAGCTTGCAAAATGTGTCTTAAAAAGTGCATCGTTTTCTTTGCCTTTTTTAACCTCATGTCATATGTAAAGAAAGAAAGCCATGACTTATGCCAGTGCCAGTTAACCCCATATCCTATGCCGCAACCAGAATTCGATTACATGGAAGAGGCCGCGCCTACTCTAGAACCAGAAACACAACCATTACCAAATCCGGATGACGGAAATATTAACAGAAATAATTTTAATTTTCGCAACAATGGAAACTACAATGGAGGAAATGGCGATGATGACGACGACGACAATGATGATGATGATGATGACGATGATGAAATAATTGATAACTCTAATGATGATAATAATGATGATGAGGATATCAACAACGATGATGATGATGATGGTGATGATGACGAAAATAACGACAATAATATTAAAAATTCCAAAAAAAAAAGAAAAAGACAGAATTTTTAGTTCCCGTCCCTAGTCCAGTAGAAGAGCAACATTTGTGAAGAGGAAGATACAGGGGTGTATCCCGCGAAGGGGAAGGAGGTGTTACCATCCGCTGTGGCACACCAACATCAGACACGTTTGAAGTGAACAGGCATTTCCTTTGTTTTTATCTTAATATATTTTTAAATACCATTTGGGAGCATATTTCGCCTTCATACGGTGATGGTATCTCCTCTGTACGCATAAAATTCATTGCACCAGTGCGTGCAGGAACACTACGTGCAGGCATGCCATCTTCAAGCAGATCTAAAGTTATCCTTCCCCGTGAGACATTTTTCACTATAAGAAGTGTAATGTGTATATGAACAGAGTCATATTTTATTCTTGCCCTTCCCCATACCCTTGTTCACAACATATTCAACATTTTCGTCACTTTGAGAAATTTGTCAATTTTTTTTTTGAATTCTCCTTTTTGTCAACAAAAATGAATCAAAAGCATAACACCTCTCTTTTTTCACCCTCTTTTTTTTTTTTTTTTATTATTTTTCCATGTGATTATATTCATGTTTTACAAAAAAATAAAAGATTTTTCCTTTTTTTTTTTTTTTTTTTTTTAATTGTTCCAACTAGCCAAAAATTTGATAACACAATATTCGTAAATTAATATAAAATGAAAAAAAAAAAAAAATATTATATATACGAGCAAAAAGCAAATCGTTCTGGAGGAAGTGTGAAACATTTCCTGTCCACGATTTTCCACCTAACCAGTTTTCTTAATCTGTTGTCTATACTTCCGACCTGGGGGGTTAGTAACAAAAAAGAAAAAATTAAATATGTTCATGAAAAAATGGAACGCACGAAGGGGGGGAGGTAGCCATTCCCCACAAAGTGATCTCTCCAAAGATATTTATTCATCACGGATGGATGAGCAAAGACGCAGGGGTGACACTCTCTCAAATGAATTGAAAACACAAAAAACGAACAAAAAAGGAACTTAAGGTACACTGCTTTGTTTGGTCGCTTTACTCTTTCCCCATCCTACTAACCTGCTGTATACATACTAATAAACTGCGATTTATATTTTGGGTTTCTCGGCGCCTGCTTATAAAAAATGTACTTCTCTAAATACTTGGGAATTCCTCTAGACCTGGGAGCCGGATTTGATAAAACTTGTTTGTGTCTTGGGTTGGCATTGCAATCGACTCCTGAAGTTTTTTAGCGCGAAAAGGGGTGTGCATATGACGTTATTGGGCACAATACACGAAGAAATGCCCACTGGAACTTTGCTCAAACGTGCGCACATGATGTAATGCTGCTTGTTGCTCATTGGCATTGCGTCCACTCCTCATGGCTACACTCACGAGGGAAATTTCTTCTTACCCAATAACGGAACGTGCCACCTGTGAATAACATACCGACATGAATTGCAAAGCAAGGTCAGAACTCCTGCACATTGGAAAACAAAAAAAAAAAAAAAAAAAACAGCAAATTTGCAGAAGAGTGGTGTAACAACATGGAATGTTATTAAGGTTCGCATAAATTTCATGTGGACACATGCCATCTACAATTGCACAGATGAATTCGTCCCATTTGTGCCGTATACCTCTATGCCACATTTTTAAAAAAGTCTCGCCTTTTTACACACACAAAAAAAAAAAATGTTTGACCGTAAGGTTAACGGGAAAGAAGCGGGAAACTTCCCCGAGTGTAACATGCAGGAAAACTAATCAAGCAGGTTTATACATATATACAAAAGGCTTGTTCGTAAAAAATGGAGCTACACATGTGGGGGGGGCGGTAGAGGGGAGTTCGTTTCGAACATTTCTTCTTTTGTGGACCTTTGCTAACAGCTGGCGCGCCTACAAGTGACTCAACCCCTATCGTAGTTCTGCTCATTTGAAAGGAAATTTCACTTCATCGCGCTTGGTCAAGCTGTAGCCACGTATCGCTGCGTTTTTCTGAAAAGTCTGTCGTGATGACCTAAGGAAGGTCATTGGCCTGTTGGATTTTTTTTTTTTTTTTTTTTTTTTTTGCATACGTTTCGGACTGGCTCCTGCACCACACGCTGCATTAACATACGGGTAAAACTTTTACGATGTATAATCCAAGTCCTCTATTGGGAACGCGAAAATGCAATGAGCATTTTCTGCTTTTTTCTTTTTTTTTTCCCGCGCCCTTGAATGGAAGTTTTACCAAGTTATATGAACAAATACCCCGCATATATTTACACGTGTATTACGCGTTTATATGTGGCCCCCCCACTTTGTGTGCATTCAATTTACCAATAAGCCGAAATTCAAATATGTACACAAAGGGGGCCATTAAATTCGTATCACTCAGAGCAACGTATTTGCAAAAAGTGATATAACTAACAAGTTGATGATGTGCCTATGATAAATTTTTTTGCCCCTTCCTTTTGTTGCATGGCTTGTGAGTTATACACAGCTCATTCGTCTGATCACCACTCTGCATTTTCTTCCAAGTTTGTCATTTTGGTTACAAACCGGTGGTCCACTTGGGGAGCACACCCCTTAGCTTAAGTACGCATCAGTCTGTTTTCCTACAAGAAAGGGGGAGGGGTCGTTGTCGCCAAGGGCCTATTTCTTAATCACACGTTCACGCACACGCATACGGACGTAACGATAAGAGCTTACAAAACAGGGGGAGGTTGTTCTCTCTGCTGCGAAATCGCATTCATATCTTCCCACTTGCCTCCAAATGATTGAAGATCCCGTAGACGACAATTGTCACATATACCTGAACGCGTAGGACATTTATGCATTTGTGTTTTGTGGGCACATGCTTCTTATGCTGCTTGTGCAAATGTGGCCAATTCGCTTACCATAATGGTTTGTTCATTCGCCACAGTTGATGAGCCTACACACACGTTGGTGGCGCCACATTATTTGCAACTTTTTTTTTTTTTTTTCCCTGTCTTTGTCTAATTTACGAAGGAAAAACTGGCTGAAGGAGTTTGAACATACAAAAATACACGAAAATGATTTGAACGAAGTTCTTATGAATTTCTTCTGTGTCCATAGGATGTATGATGTTGCGAGTGAGTTTCAGAAGGAGGCCCGGGTAAAGCGTACGTATAATGAGCGTCATGGGAGAGTTGCATGGAGGAGGGAGATTTCAAACAGAGCAACAGGCCAGCTGCTGTAAAGTACACGCGTGTGGAGTTTTCCTAAAGAACGTGAAGGAATGAAAAAAAAAAAAAAAAAAAAAAAAAAAATGATGATTCTATGCGCAGAAATAAAAATCAAATTCGTACTACTATGTAGAATGATGATACTGGATGTCATCCTTGAACTGATTTTTTTTTTTTTTTTTTTTTTTAAATTTCACATGATCTGATAATTTGAAATTGTCGCAAAAATATGAGCGCCACATTTTGTTGCTTTCTCAACCGAATTAACTGGCACCACTTTAACAACTGAGAAATGTGTCACCATATGTAATCAGAAGACAGTTTAATATGTTGAGTAGCATAACTAATGTGGGATTTTTTTTTTTTTTTCAACCTCCCCCCTAACAGCTGATATGCCAATAGACACAGTAAAAATACGTTACCTAATTCAAAATGAAATTATGAATAACAAAATTGAGGAGGCCATAGAGCATATCAATAATTTAGACAAGGGGGTGAGCCATCATATTTTGTTTTTTTTTTTTTTTTCTCGCTTTATATCTTATTCAGCTTTTGCTTCTTTTTGCGTGTAGTTACCCGTTGCAAGCACTTGATCATGCTGTTCCCTTCTTTCACATATCTCCATTTCCAGATTTTAAAAAAGCATAAAGACCTGGTTTTTTTTCTCAAGAAGCAGCAACTATTAAAATTAATTTTGAACGTGAGTAAAAACGGGGCAGTAAAAATTAGTGATCACGCATATTCAGTTTATTCCCCGCACATGTTTACAATACAGAAGCAGCTCCATTTCTATGTGCACATAACATGTGTATTTTTTTTTTTTTTTCCCCTGCTCCTTCTTTCAGAATAACATCAATGAGGCCATATTATATTCGCAGAAGGAGCTGGCCCCATACGTGAACGAAAAGGTTTGGCAGTCCGCGTGAAGCTTTACACATACATGCCGTTCGTTTGTTTGCTCGTTTTCATTGTTACCATTACTTCGTTTATTACACTGCTTATATTTGTTCACTAGCATGCGCGTAATATTTTTTCCTCTACCCCCCTAACAGCCATCCCTCATTAGCGAGATCGATGACGTCATGATGCTCATGGCATACCAGGACCTTAACGTAACTCTTCATTCGTTTCAACGTCGTCACTGTGTTTTGCTTAGACGTCTCGTTTTGCCTCTCCCTTTTGCTTCCCCTTATAAACGGCCCCGTGTAAATTTCCTTCGTATAACCCGCAGAGCGAGGAAGCCAAAAAGTTAATCCAAAAAATAGAAAAGAAAAAAAACACCCTGAAAAGGATCGACGACATCATTTTAAGCTACTACAACGTTGACAGTGGTGAGGAGCGGAAAATCATAAAGGAGAGGAAAACGCGCGAGTGAGCACATGGTCCCATCAATATGGCTCGCACAGTTGCTAAGAACCGTGCCTTGTCGCCTCTTTAAGACGTGGTGAAATTTCCCTCCCCCTTTGTAGAAAGCACACTTGAATATATTGTGAAGAACATCTTCTTCACGCAGAATGTGTTGAGTTCGAAGGTAGGCAAGGGGAAAGAGAGACGCTTGCGCGAGGTACATGTGATACCTTTCTTTGTACCCCTCTGATGTACTACTATCGTGTGCCTCCCCCCTCCACAACAGTACCCCTGCAGCATCCCCAAACTGAAGAACCTCAAGACGGGCTACATCGAGTATTACGAAAAGCAGAAAAAGAGAAAGAAGAAAAAGTCCAGCAGAAAAAGCAGACACAAGAGCAAATCCAAGGACAAAATTTTCGAAGACAAAATTGGGGAAGACACGGCGAAGGATTTCGAGGTCACGAACGAGGAGGACTATCGTTCCGTGTAGCGCAGCGGAGCTGTAATGTATGTGTGCATTTACGCCTTTATTTGTGCGTGCATTTACGCCTTTATTTGTGCGTGCATTTACGCCTTTATTTGTGCGTGCATTTA